TTTTTTTTTTGAGTTTCAATTATGTATACGTACTGAAACCATGAAGTATTCCCTGGCATGTTAATTCCCATCATCTATGTCCATTTCTACCCAGGTCCAAATTTTAAAAACTTTGCTAACTGCGTTTCTCCTCAGACCATGTCTCATTGAGTACATTTGAATGGACGGACAATGAAGTTGACCTGCAGGTTGCAAACAATGTGGAAGTTTCCAATAGTGGATCAGATTCTCACTCCGATGCTATGCCAAGTTCACCTACAATACCAAGGAAGAAGAAGAAAATAGCAGATAATGCCCAATGGTATGTATAAACAAAATCAGTGTCAAGATGACTTGGTATATATATGTACGCAAATAGTGTAATATTTATATGCGTACTGCACTTGAGCAGACTTTGCTGACTATTCCATGACAGTAAAGCTTATTAAAAGTGCTACATTAAAACAATGTAAAGTATAACTACCTGTCTTCTCTGTTTTATTTGGAAGATAGGATTTAAGCTTTGCAGACATTTGTTTGGTTGAACAGTCTCTTTATTTTGAATGCAGTGAAATAATTGCCAACTATTAATTTATGTGAATTACTGGGACTTTTTAGTTAGTTTGTGTCACTTTGTATATTCTGGAACTTTCTAAGTTATATTTTGCTGTTATAACCAATGTCATTTCCCAGGCTTAATTTGGCACATAAAATGTGCCACATTGAAATAGAGTTTAAGTTGAATCAAGATATAGTAATTTGTAATTACCAATGACTTGCACTGCAGACACAATCAACGAGTTGGCCATGTGCACAATATTTGAGAATTATTGTTTCTCAGTTAAACCTTGTCAAGGACAATTTCTAAATGTTTTGGCAACCTTCCTACTTCATAAATAGGCCTTTGTGTGTGTACACAAATCAGTGACTCGAGTTAATGGTTGTGGTTACAATATTTTTTCCGTATGTAACTAAATATTGTTCATTTCTTTACAGGAGTGGTCTATGTTACGAAGACAAAGTACGATTAGTAGAATCACTTGGCCAATCAATTAGTAATGAACTTGGACTCCGAGAACAATTAGACGTCATTAGAATAATTAACCCCAGTGCTGTCATTTCACCAAGTGACAGTGAATTTGTTATAGGTGAGCTCAATTCCAGCAGTGTACATGTATACATATCCCCCCGCACTTGAGCAGACTTTGCTGACTATTTCATGACAGTAAAGCTTATTAAAAGTGCTATATTAAAACAATGCAAGGTATAACTACCTGTCTTCTCTGTTATATATGGAAGATAGGATTTAAGCTTTGCAGATAATGTGTACATGTATATTGAAATTAAACTTGTTGATATGCGAGGGTGCGCATACTATGCTGTGCTTTTTGTATTGTGGTTTCTTTCATTTTTATCTATTTCCCAGCAGAATTTTGCGGATTATTCTGGATGTCATTTTCCATCGGCTACTGGGCTTGATTTAAAAAATTACTAAGAAAATTATATGTATGTGTTTCTAGAACGGTGAAAATAATGACTTATTCTTTTTATCTGTAGATATCCAAGCATTGAATGATGATAAACTTAAGAGGATACGAGATTACGTGAAGAAGAATGCGAGTAACAACAATAACAGTAGTAACAGTGGTTCGAGGAGTCCGCAGAAATCTAGCGATGAAAGCTCTTCTAGTGAATACAGTTCCTCGCCAGACCAGAGGGTTAAACAATCAAAGGTATGGGAGGACAGTGCTTTTGATAAGGAATTTCTCAAAAATTATGTTTTTGTGAATAAACTCTACTTTAAACTGTTTATTTTTGGAGACTACAAAATTTGTACAAATTATCACATTT